GTAACATGATTTTTCCCTCTTTCATATTGGGTAAAAGTTAAATTTAAAGATAGATGTAAGATCCTATTTGAGTCTTCACTTTTTGAGATTTTGTAAAAAGTGAGTACTTGTTCTCTTTACCATTTTTAAATTGTTTTTCATTTTCGATTTTTCAAAACAGTGAAAATGCGTTCTCTTTTCTATTTTCGAAAACGCGTTTTTGAAAATAAGTTAAAATTTTACAAAAAAAACTCAAAACGACAAATTTGTCGCTTTGGGTGTTTTCAAAACAATTTTTCAAAATGTCAAAAAGAACACATTTTCAACAATCTCAAAATAGACACTCAAAACATAAAACTCAAAATAAATTCAAAACTTAAAACACAAAATTGAAATACAAAGAGAACCGTCCCTGAGTTTTTTAAGAATGTGTAATTAAAAAGTACGAAAATATTTTGAGTTTGCATGTAAAATTATTTTATTGGGATAATGTATATTTAAAAATAATTTTGAAAGAAAATGAATTTTAAAAATCGAAACTAAAATGTGGACTAAATAAGAAAATGTAAGTCAAATTTTATTATTTCACATATTGTCAAATTTGAATTGCTATCGTTAGCATATTAAGAATAGTAAAAGTTGTTGGTCTTACGATGCAAAAGGAGGTGAAGAGATCCTAACACAATATTAAAATACACACTTTACTACTTAAAAGCACTCAAATTTAACTTAGAAAGAATAATCGAGTATGTTATCCAAATCAAGTTGTAAAATGAAGAATAAAATAGCTACATAACCAAAGCACTAAAATATTTTATTTTAATATTATACTTTGCTTTTGAAAGTTATTATGATTTCTTAAGTAACATACACGCTATTGATTGAGTTATTGTCTTGTCATTTTACCATTGATATAATATCCACCTTTTAAGAAAAGAAAAAGAAACATTCTTTCTCAAGTTTCACTTGATTAGGATACTATGTTGTGACAATTGAGTTGATCTAGTCAGTACATATCATCTTTTTAGATAATATTATCAATCACTATTTACGTCATTCGCAGTTTTCATAGACAACAAGCGAGAAAAGCACTTCTTAGAAGAGTGACAAGCAAAATTGAACAAGATAAGTTACATTGCTTGGGCCCACAAACGTCACATCATGAACATTTTATAGACTCTCATGTCCGTGAAAGCTCAATCGCAATCGTTCATTGACGATGACACATTCTCTATCCTCAAGTTAGACTCTTCCACTCTTCATTTGATGTTAAAACACCATATCCTCTCTCAAAGAGGGGCTGCTTTACCTTGATAACATAATTTGCCAAAATTTCTCGCACATGGTTAGCAGTTGTTTCAATACAAAGAAGAAGCGTACCACCAAAAGAAAAAAAATCAACGCGGTGTAGTAATATTCCTACATATTCAATACCTCTGTAAAGCATCTAAACATTTCCAAGCATCTTCTACTTAGAGTTGGATATTACTGATAAGTGATTTTCACACAGTCAAAAATTTCGGCCAAAATGGGACCCATGACCATTGTACAATGGTCAAATAATTGCCAATTTTTTTGAAAAAGCTCTTCCAAACAGCAGCTAAACAAATATATAACCCTCGTATACATAACACGTGAAATAACAAAAGTATAAAGTGTTAACAAAAATTCAAATAATAAAACTTTCGTTCTCACGAATATCAGAGATCAAGAAGCCAGTGTTAAAAAAACATTTGACTTAACTCTGCCCAACAGAGTCATTTTTATTTGAATCAAGATTTGATTGTGCAAAATGAATCTTATGCCTCTAATTAGCATAATTCTATCACTCAAGAAGAAAACATTTAATAGCTCAAGCGATATTGTATAGATTTGTTCGTCCAACTAGATAACACCTTTAGGTGCAAGACACGAACAATAAAAGATAACTTTGTAAAGTTTTGACACCCCGAAAATAATTCACTTTCAGTATCTTAAAAAGTTTCATCATTTCGTTGTGGCCATCAATATTTTGAGTGTTTTTGCATCACTTGTTTGAGAAATACCAAAGGCGTCGTGCACCATTACCAATCATATTATTCCACCGTAAAATTGTATATTATCTTCACCGATTGTATTGCCTTGACTTGACCAAAAATTTCACCATGGTAGTTCCAAACCATGTATCTTAGTGTGAACCCATGAACTATTAAATGCATAATATCATGTTACAAAGTATCTATTGATATAATCCTTACATGGACAATAGATTTTCAAGTCCCTAGCTTTGTCTCTATTTCCTTCTGTACATATCCCAAAGACGATGTATTCCAAAAGGAATGAGACTCTCTTCAATACTATCACTCTTTCAAATTTATTCTAAATTTAGTCATCCAACTTGATAATCAAATCAATTGCCCCTTCTCAAACCCACAAAATGAAGAAGTACAGTTGAACACCAGTGGGCCTAGTACACCACAATTTCCAAAATATTATTATTTTCAACTTTAAAATTTGTTCTCCAAAATCCCGTATTTCTTACGAAATCTATCAATTCTTGATGCCAATTACAATTGAATAATGTTATTCGTCACTAATGGTGATTACCACCAATCTATGTGACATTAACAAGTAAAATGCACTAGACAATGAATCAGATGGTCATTGTAATTTAAATATGTGATGAATAGCATTACTCGTTACAACTTCAAAGAGTAGAAGCAATCAAAAGATTGTACAAAAACCGCTAGAAAAGATAGTTATGTACCTGCGCTATTAATCAACAACTATCTTGTATTAAACCTAGAATCTCGGTAGTCAAAATTTGATCTCAACAAACTTGACTTGTAATTATAAATAGATTGAAATGAGTTGTGGATAAGTTGATTCGCGCTCTAGTAGATCAAATATTAGCTTAAGTCTAAATGATAATACTGTTGGATGATTTTTGGTTTCTGAAGGATTATTTGGTGTACCTTGGAGCTAGCTGGGTAGTGCAGTTATGGAAATAGCTCTCAAAACCAAAGAGTGAAAGTCTTGTAAATTTTCCATAGCTTAGTGCATGATTGAACTGTTATGTCACTTTTTGCCTCCAAATATTCAAAATCAAGTTACAGAACGATTACTCTTCTTGACAATATATGTCTAACAATACCTCAGTTGAAGCAAATTCAATCACATTTGATCGTATCCGGCGCCATTGCCGATCCTTTTGCTGCCGGGAAACTCATAGCCAAGTTTGCAGTTTTCGATCTTTCTCACACTCAAGCCTTCTTTCACTTCTTGCCTCAGCGTTCAAGGAGCATATGGAATACAATGATTAAAGCGTTCACTGAGAATCACAAACCTGAAAATGCCCTTTCACTCTATAAAGAAATGTTGGGAAGTAATTTTTTGCCTAATAATTATACGTTTTCTTTTGTTTTTCGGGCTTGTTCCGAGTTATGTGATGTTTCTTTGGGATTAATGTACCATACCCATGTGATCAGATTGGGATGGGAGTGTTATGATTTTGTGCAAAATGGGTTAATTCATTGTTATGCGAGTTGTAAATATATGGAAGTTGCTCGGAAACTGTTTGATGTGAGTACGAAGCGGGATGTGATTACATGGACTGCGGTGATCAATGGGTATTTGAAGATTGGGGAGGATGGGGCAGCGAGGGAGTTGTTTGATCAAATGCCTGAAAGAAATGCAGTTTCTTGGAGCGCGATGATCAATGGTTATGTGCAGATGGGGTTTTTTAACGAGGCTTTAGAAATTTTTAATGATATGCAGGTGGCTGGGATCCGGCTTAATCAATCTGGGGCAGTTGGCTTGCTCTCAGCATGTGCTTCTCTTGGCGCTTTGGATCAGGGAAGGTGGATTCATGCATATATTGATAGGGTTAAGATGGAAGTGGATAGTGTGTTGGGAACAGCACTTATCGATATGTACTCAAAGTGTGGGTGTATTGACATGGCTTGTTATATTTTTGAGAAGATGTCGTGTAGAGACGTGTTTGCTTACACTTCCATAATTTCAGGTTTAGCTAATCACGGGGCGAGCAAAAGTGCCATAGAGTTATTCAGGAGGATGGAAGATGAAGGTATTAGGCCGAATTACATTACACTTATAGGTGTCTTGAGTGCATGCAGTCGAATGGGGTTGGTGGAAGAAGGGTTGAGAATATTCAATAGCATTAGAGATGTTTATGGGATTGAGCCAGGGGCACAACACTATGGTTGCTTGGTAGATCTTATATCTCGAGCCGGGCTTCTCGAACAAGCGATAAAGGTGGTGAGAGAGATGCCTATGAACCCGGATTCATATGTATTGGGAGCATTACTCAGTGCTTGTCGAGTTCATGCTGATATTGATCTTGGTAAAGAAATGGTCGAGGGATTAGCTGAGTGCTGTCTTGACCAGAGTGGAATTCATGTCCTCCTTTCAAATATTTATGCCTCCATCAACCAATGGGATGATGTAGAGAGAGTTAGGAAGGGAATGGAAGAGAAGAAGGTGAAAAAGGTGCCTGGATTTAGCATAATTGAAGTGGATGGTTTAGTTTTCAAATTTTTTGCTGGAGATAGGTCTCATGATCAGATTAATGAGACTGAATTCACATCACTAGGAATTGACAAACACTTAAAGTCTCTTCAAGATGATGCTGATGGCTTTACAGTTGGGCAAATTTGCCCATGACAATGTGCAGGTGCATAATTTTCAGCTTAACAATAGAAACAATCCGTTCTTGTGCCATAATTTTCACCTGTGGGAAGAAAGTCCCAGAAACCAGGACATATGATTGGCTTTCCCTCAGTGATTTGAAAGAAAGCTGTGGCTGAAGAAATTGTCTTCATTCTTGTCCCCTTCTTCCTAGGAAAGAAGATGATGGAAAAGCCGAAATTTAATTTGAAGAAGTCCATTGATGGAGTATTTTGAATTGAAAGGAAAGATTTTGGCCATGGTAGTGGCTTTTGATTTACAATGGCTTTTGTCCTAAATTCGTGTCCTAAATTGTTGCACTGTTTCTTGTCTTGTGCCTTTTTGTGATACAATCCCCATATTCTCTTCAAACAATCACTAAATTTATGAAAAACCATGATCTTTAGATGAATGATCACATCCAAAAGCTATTAGAGGAATGATCACATCCAAAAGCTATATACAGAACTTTAACCTTTGCATTTTCACCTAGTTTTCGGAATTCTTCTCCCGTGTATTTTCCAAATATCATCTCCATAAATTATGTCTTCTTGTTCCATTAAAATTAGATTTGCAAGAAGAACTGTTATCCAGTTTCCTTTCGATAATGGTGCTACATCCTTTGGAACAAAATCCGTTCGATTCTTGGAGGCAATTGTTCAACGCCCTTCAGCACTACGACAGCAAAATTGTTTCAAGGATGACATGAAGTCGTTAGACTCGGATTCTGGCATACATATTATCTTTATTGCTAATTTGTAATCTAAAATAGCACATTCAGAAGTTCATTTGAGAATTGAAATTGCGAAAGAAATCAGATTCTTCACATTGATTATTATCAAAATTTTTAACTTATCAGCGTTGGTACAGGCAGACAATTTTAATGGATCTTCCCTTTTCACATGACTTGGGGTTTTTTTTGCACTTAGATTACTTCACACCTGATGCTTTATATTCTTTTTGAAATGATAAACACTCAGTTGTATTTCTATCAATGCCTTTATAACTTAGTTGGGCATTTGTTTGACTAAAAATTGCAATGCGTTAGTTATAAAAGAATAATAATTGTCTGACAGTAAGGTACAAGTAAATATTAATCGCCTCACAGTTATAACTGTCAACTGTGATGATCTTCATCACATCTTTGCTGTAAATAATGGAAATACTACTAATAGAACTAATCAATTCGAGGTTTTCTAAACAAGTTTATATTATCTTTTACTATAATTTATGATTTCTTGACAATCTTTACGAAATGCTTTTTCTTCTCCACTTCGTTTGTGCACTGTGAGTGTACTACATGAGTAGTACAATTACGTTGTGGGTTATGTTTACATCTAGAATCAATGTACTAACTGTTCCCATGGGTACACATTCAGTTGAGGTGAAGGAAAACATGAGGAAACTTGCATTTCGAAATCTGAGGGGGTAGTTCTCAATGTAGTGCATTGTCAACGGTTAGTGATCTCCAGCCTAGTCGATCTACGAATCAAAATAACAAATGAGAGTAACATAATTTTATCGCGTCACATTATTTTTTTGGCAACTACGTTTTATTGAAAACTAAGTAAATGACAAACATTTTTACTCACATTGAACCGTCCAGGAATTATACAGCGTCACAACATTTAAGTCGACACTCCCATTCTTTCGAATCTCGAGTTTTGCTAAAATCCCCTACGTGGAAATGCAAAGAAAAAGTTTGGAAGGGTTAACCGATGTGTTTGGAACAAACAACAAACAATAACATGGACATGTTCGGATGATTTTTTGGCGAAGCGTTACACTCTTCTATGAGGTGACCACTAGCTATTTTTGACGACATTATTTTTGTAGGGCTTTCTTGGTCGGAGTCGGGGTGGAAAAGGGACAAGGTAAATTTAGTAGATTGCTCTTTTTTTTTTTTTTTTTTTTTTTTGTGAAGCTTTGATAGTGAAATTTCAATGTATAATGCAATGGTTTATTTACACATTTAATTGCATAGAATTTAGTAATGGAAGATAGTTGTCACCGACGAGGGAAAAAGGTCTCATGGTCCACTCTAAATTGACTGTTCGAAGAATTGTGGCCATTTGAAGGCTAAATTGACCGGTCCATGTCGAAGATGTCTACAAAAGTGTGTACAAAAAATCCCGTGTTGGAAATGTTTACAGAAAATTGTTTTCACCCTTGACTGGTCCATGTTTTCAAGAAATTGTTTCACCCTTGTTGGCCATCAATGTTTTTACTTTTGCCTTTCTCTAGAATTGCATGTAAATCTTCCATATGGATTTTTGACCGATCTTTAAAACTTACTTAGAGATATTTTTGACTAAAAGTTGTAATGTGTTAGGTACAAGTGAATAATAATTGTGGGACAGTAAGGTGCACGTGTTAGGTACAGACGAATAATAGCGAATAATAATTGTCTGACAATTATTAACCTTTATCTCGCATTTGTCGTAAATAAGATAGTCATATCATTACTAACAGAACTAATCGATTCGAGGTGATATTTAGTTTTCTAAACAAGTATATCTTATCTTTTACAATAATATATGTTATTTGGACGATCTTTACCTAGTTTTTTCTTCTCCACTTGGTGTGTGAACATTTGTGCGGTGTGCGTGTACTACACGTGTGTGTTTGTGCGCGCATGTATTATTGAATGATAGACGTTCTTATATATATTGATTGATACAAGTTTTATGTGGATATTTAAATTTTAATGTTACATAGTAGTTGCAATACATGTAATAGTAATTGCAATACATTCTAGTGTTAGTGTTAAATGTGTCAATCCATTTATCAAACAAAATCTTAATAATTGGCAACAATGTATAAAATATCAAATAGTAGATAAATTACTTAAAACAAATTTATGACTCTTATATATTATGTATAAATTAATGCATTCCCTCTTCAAGTCTTCAGCCCACAACCCTTTTTCTCTCCATTGCAAAAGTTATGATTTGTTTGATTGGCATGAAAAAAAATTTCTGGAAAAGAATATGTTTTCCCTGTTTTGAAGAAAACAAAAACTCACCTCTCAAAAACAAGGAAAATTTGACATATTTTCAAATGTTGAAAAATGTTTTCCATGAAAAAAGATAGTAATCAAACATTTCGAAAGTCAGAATTCGGGTGGAAAAAATGTCATTTTCCAAGAAATTTTTTTCGATCAAACGCACCCTTAATGTTTTGCTATATATTTTGTGTGCTTTCTGCCATGTACCGCACGTGTGTTGTTCATGCGTGTGTATTATGAAACATCCACGTTCTTTTATATAAGGATTGTTATAAGGTTTTATGTTATTGTTATTTGGGAATAGATATTGTGTTGGAATTTTGTATTGGAAATTGGTTGTGACTAATTGAAATGATTTAAGTGAAAATTCCTTGTTTGTGAATGAGAAATTAAGCCAAACTTAAAATGTTTGATATTGTTTGAAATTGTTGGAAATTATATAGAATATTGTGAAATATTCTAGAGAATAAGTAGATGAAAAGATGAGTCTTTTCATATGGATCATGACTCTTGACATTATTTTTCAATAATGGTCTCTTTATGTAGAGATGTAATTGTGCCTCTTTATGGAGAGATTTAAATTCCAAGAGATGTGTCTCTTGGTATGGATGTTCCAACTACTATATATATAGATCCCCATGTGTTTGAATTTTAAGGAAAAACAACAAACAATTCAATTGATAGTTTCATATCATTCCATTCCATGTTTACAATTTAGTTTTGCATAAACCACTTTATA